GGAGTGGGGTTGAGCACAGTTTCAGTCGTGGAGATCAGTGTAGGCCAGACTGGAAATATGTCATTTGGGCTTGGTCTTGAAGAATGTGCAGGGTGTGTCATGGAGAAGAAGGGTGAGGAAGGACAATGCAAGTTCCTAGGACATATCGAGAGCAGTAGTAAGATGGAGCACCGTATAGTCAGTTTTTTTGGTGATGTTTGTATCTCAAAAAGTGACTCTAGAGTGGAGGAGTAAAAGAAATCAACTTGGCAGTGAAATGGTCAGGAAAAGTGGATTGTAAAGAGCTGGAACCAAACCACCTATCATCCTTCTCTGTTAGACAAGGGCTGGCTCTGAATGGATAATTTCTTCAAAACCAGTCGTGGAATTGGGAGCTGTGTGAAACCCCAATGGTAAGGAGAATGAGGGCTGTCTGGACGATTTCTGAGTTTCATCACCAAATTATTTAGAGAGACCTAGAAGTAAAATAGAATAGAAGGTAGATGACTTTAAGGATTTAAAAGAAAATCAAATTTTAAGATCAAGCCTGAATCTGTTGATATATTTGAAGTCAAAGTTATATTTAATGTTACAGGTGTCAGTTTTTCTCTTCTACACTGAAAATGGTAAAGGATGATATTTTGATTAGATAAACAAGGTAAAGATGTAAAGATGTTCTAATACTAGCGTAAGTGCTTTGGCTGAAGGAACAAGACCTGTGTTATATGAATATTTTATGGGGTCAACTTGTACGAGATTAGAGGTGTGTGTGTTTAATGAATGACATCATTCTACACATAATACTCTAAAACTTACCTTTCCTAGTGAAAAAATAAATCTTGGAGAAAAGTCTGTATTCATACATACAGATTTAACTCATTTTTTAACGACTGTATATAATTTATACTATGGAAATATTAGTTTATTTAGCCAACTCCCTACTGATGGATATTTACATTGCTTCCAGTGGTCTTCTTATAAAAGGGCCATGGTCAACTCTTTCCTAGCCTCGTATGGGCTTTCTTCATGCTAGTCCTTTCTCATTTCTTATGATTAGATATCTAAAATGCAAGAGAGATGACGTGTAATAGCAATGACCAACAATATTCCTCAAAATTGTCCAAGTTCTTTCTTTTGATCAGCTCTAAAGGTTAAGTAATACTTGCTGTGCTTTAGCCAAATGTGTCCGAGAAGCTGCCGAGACCCTGTCCGTAACTTTCGGAATGAGTTTTCTTTATTCTTCTGCCTGCCTATCCTCAAAACAACCTTTGTCCCAGTGGTGCAGCTGGAGGAGGGCAGTGAGAACACTCTTCGACAAAGGCCATGATTCTCCTATTATCTGTCAGAGTTTTGTCCAGCATACACTAGCTGAAGGCTTCATTTGGGATGATGAAATGAGATATCTTCTCTTCGGATCTGTTATTATAACCAGTCCTTGCAATCCCATAACCTGGAAAAATTTCTAAAGAGTAATACGAAGTAATTAGGTTTCATTCTCGGTGGAGTGATTCACCCGTACGCATTTCTTAACAGCCCAGGAAGGAGTCATGCTATGATAAAGATTTCGTTGATAAGATTATTTCTGTGGCAAGGTAAGACTGTCCCGATACCTGGTATAAGAAAACAAAAAAGCCTTTTTTCTTTTACTAGGATTTTAACAAAAGAGTCGGCACATAATGGACAGGGGGTGAATGTTGTTGGAATCAGAAGCATGCAAACATCCACATGAGGGCTCAGTGTTTCACTGACTTGATAGTGTTGAACTTGCTCGCCAAGCGAACCCTTCGTGTCACTGAGTGAGCTGCCCTTGACAACACGGATGCTTTGTTTTAGAACACAGGATCGGTATTACAGGTTTCTTGAATCTATCACCAACAATTCTACACAATAACGTCCTGATAAAATTTTCACGTTCTTGAAAAGTATTGTATTTTTAATTCTCACAATAATACTGGCCCAGGCAGGGGAAGGAATACTGTATTTAGCCAAGCTAGGTGACTGGTCTTGTCACACATGGCTGGACCACAACCCAAATCTGCCTTCACATCCATCGGTTCCTCACTGAATCGTGCTGCCTTCTAAAAGAAGCTATATATTGAGACAGAGATACATATTTACACATGAACAGAAGGAAGCCTCAGGAATTGTGAGGTGTGCTGTGAAATTCCATACTGCTTATCTTTTGCTATTTGCCTATCCGTAGGGCTGTAAGCTTACTCAGAGCTCAAATAGAAGCGTCCAGGTACTGTAAGTCAACCACTGCTTGAGCTTTGCCCCTGGTTCTGTGAGATGAAGAAGCCTCAGATGCATTTGGCTCGGTGAGGCTCAGAAGCACTTGTATTTGCTACATCTGTGTTTTTAAAAAGCTGTTTTGTGTGTCTGTTCCCTATTAGAATTGAGTTCCTTGCCTGCTCTGTTTTCAGACATCAAGCCTTATTTTGGTGTGTTTTTCTAACTCTCTGTTTCCCAAACGTGCCTGATAGACAGACTCACTGGAAGAACTCTGATTTCTATGATCAGGCAAGTTTAGGAGACACTCTTAGCCTGATCCGTTAGACCTTTCTCTTGGAGTTTAATTATTGAATCCTGTCAAGAACCGAGAACCATAGTGTGTTTCTGCAAGCACTTGGCGTGCATCCTGCTTTGCTCTTGGCAGTCAATGAACTAAAACCACAAAAAAGTTAGGAGACAGGCATTCCACTCTCTAAGGATCCTTTCCCAAATCAGGAAAGACTCAGTAAGTGTTGTGAATTTTAATAATATTGATTCATTATTTCAACAATGATTTGAGTGCATACTATGTGCCAGGCATTTGTGCTAGGTGCTGGGGATATACAGCTGTGAACGAGGCAACTAACATTTATGGAAGTCCTTGTCATGGGATGGATATCAAGCTAACAGCTTCACATACTTTTTCTCGTTTAAACTTCACAACTCTTCTGTGAGGTAGGTATTATCACCTTCATTTTAAAATTCAGAAACTGTTATTTCAAAAGTTTGACTGACTTTGCCAAAGTCACAGATCTAAGATACAGGGGTATCCGGAATTCACAGCCAGTCTGTTGGATGCCACAGCTCAAGGTCATTACCCCATAGAGCTTCTACTTTATCATAGAACATATGTCTATTCACTCCCCTCTTTCTACTTCAGACAGAGGTTCTCAACTCTGGCTACACATTAGAATTGTCCAGGGACCTTTTTAAAAAGTATCTTGGCCCGGGTTTTACCCCCAAATAAATTAAATACAAATATTCAATGGGGCCCGGGTATCAGCATTTTTTAAAAGCTCTCTGGGTAAGGCTAATGTGCACTGACGGCTGAGAACCACTCAGCATCATTAATTGACCTCAGGTAGATACTGCCTCTGCCAGCCTAATAGTTTCTAGCATTCTTCATGGATCATTTGGCTCATTAAATGTTTAAAGACTCCAAATTATTTTTTTCCCTTTTAAACAAACTGAAAGTTGTCAAAATATAGCAAATACTTTAATAATGAAGAAGTCGCCCCAAAGAGGAGCATGATAATAGGTCCATGTAAAGAAGAATTCGGAAACTTGGGGCATCTCTCCGCAGGGGTAGCGTAGTCTAGAACGAGAGATGAGAAATAAGCTGGAGTCTAGAAAACCCGTGAGCTTCTGGGTCTCTCTTGGTGGGACTCAGAGAACCTGAAGCTCTTTTAACGTGATGAGGGAAGAAAATCTTGAGACAGATGATGGTTCAAGAAAGTGTCCTTCATCGTTCACGGGCACAGGCCATAAGTCGACTTAATTTTTTTGAGGTCCAAATGAAAGTAAAATAAAAATTAAATGGTTTTAATCTTGCTAGCTTGGATGTATTAATGTAGGTACTCTAGACTAAGGTTTACTTTGAATGCTCTAAGAAAAAAAATACCTTAAATAGTAGAAGAATAGATATCTAAGTTCCGTCAAGCTGTTTGAAAACCCTTAACTGCTCAAACGACGCATGTGTATATACTTCTATAAACTTTTAAGTTAAGAGTTCTGCATTCCAAGCTTTCACCACTTTGTTAAACATGTAGGATGTGGTAGTCATATTTGCCTTTGTGAAGAGGGCAATCTAATTAGTTATCGACTCTCCGCTAATTCAATCTGGTTTTGCTTGTCTTTAGCAAATGCGCTGTGACTGTCCCCCTGAGGGAGGTTCTTCTCAAAGCATCTCTATCAAATATTAAGAGTAAATGGTTAGTTTGAAGTAATCACAAAGTTACAGTGCATAAGATCCCCAGAAAGAGAGAGACAGGGAAAGTAAATTTGGAGTCATTGGGCTTCAACAAGTTAGAGGCACTTGGATGAGAAGAAAAAATCAAGGCTACCAGGGGAGGGAAGACTTTTTAAACCAAGGGGTCTTCAGAAAGGGGGCGGGGGAAGAAAGAGAATGACTGCTACTCTACTATTATGAGTAACCGAAGGTCGAGTCTTATCTCCACATTTTATAACTCAACCATCAATGCTGAGAGGATAGTTGGATCACGAAGTTCCATTGAGTCACTTTATGACCATTACTTAAAACAGTCATTACCAAAAAAAAAAAAAAAAAGTCAACAGTGGAAAAAAAAAAAAAAAGAAAAACATGAAAAATGGCCTCCTTTTTTACATTTCCACATAGGTGATCTCCATACCAGGAGATGAACTTGAACTTGGTTGGGCGGGAGACGGACCTGGTTGGGCGGGAGACTGGAGCCCCTCAGAGAATTTGGGATTCTTCCATTTTTACTGGGAGGGTTGGCAGGTATAACATGTGTTGTTATGTGAGTCCATGAGAGCCTCCAGGGTTCTAACTCCCTGCCTCTCCGTGTGGTGGGGAGTCGGTCGCTCGCTCTGAAGCACCCGACTGGTTTCTGTCTGTGGCTTACCCATGAACAGTGGCTTGGAAGTGTCAAAGCATGAGAAGCATGCGGTCGAACAGCATGTACTGCCATCACCTTCTACATGGTTCTGCATGGGAAAGCTAGGGGGGACCGTCTGCCGGCTGGGCTCAGGTGTCACCTTCTTCCCCACAGAACTCTCTGAAGGCTTCCAATCGGAAGAAGAAGAGAACAAGCTTTAAAAGGAAAGCCAGTAAAAGAGGATCTGAAGTGAGTGTTTTGATGAAATACATCCTCTTTCCAAAGCCTTCTCTGCCTGACGCAGTCTGGCTCAGACGCATTGTTTTGATATACCTCCTACCACTGTTTTCTCATTTACTGTAATCTAACCACACTGGAATTCTCTATATATGTATAAAGAATCTGTGTGTGTGTGTGTGTGTGTGTGTATTTTTTTCAATGTAACCCTTTACCACTTCACAGAGAATTTGCACTAGTCTGTGGAAGTATTATCCCAAAGATGATGAAGATGAAGAATAAGAGCTAACATTTCTAGAATGCTTAGAGTATACAGAATAAAACCAAAAGCATGGCTTAATTGTTAGGGGCAAATGATAGCTTGAGATACTTCTAAGCTTTCTCTGAGTGTCCTATTAAGAGTAAGCCCAGTGCAGCAAGTCGTATCTTTCATTTTTATTTTTTGCAAGGGTGGGGGGTGGCGCTAGTCGCGCGGGGTGGCGCTAGTCGTTTCCCACTTCCATGGCGT